CATTTTTGGCTTCTTGGTGGAGAATCTGATATTTCGTGGCTTCCCATATCTGTTGCTGAAGCCAAGTTTTAATTCTTTGAAAAGTTACTGCCTGTCTTGTCTTCAGGGAACACTTCTTATGTCCCATCTTAAATGCTGAGACTCGACTATGTACACTGTGTTCTTACATTAATATACGTATGCCTGGTTTATACAGATTTTTTTTTGACTAGGTCTAATACAAAAGTAAGTGGGGAGTAGAAATTTTTTTGTAAAAGGGGTTTCCACAGTCAGCAGAACAGATGATCCTGAAGGAGAGCTCTCCTATCACTGAAGTTTGCATGATGGAAACTGGAAAAGAGTGATGCAGGTGATCAAACATGACAATGTATGTACTGTGACATGGAACTGTACCTGATTTAATCGAGCCTGTAATGCATGACTTTTGCTGGTTATTGAAGAGAAAGCATTTTCTAAGGCCAACTCTTCAGCTGTTAATTAAATTCAAAAGTTTCAAAAAAATAAAGTATCTAGGAATTTGTCATCTTCCCAGTCACTGGATCTTGCAGTGCTTTTGATGGGTGTAAGACAGGTTCATAGCACTAAATCTCTTTTTACACCTATTTACAGGCTGAATCCATCGTGTGGCTTAGCTAAACAGGTAGGGTTTCAAGCTCCATGGAAAGACAAGCTTTGAAGATTATTTTTTTTCAATCATTGGATGTGGCTTTTTTTCTGAACCCATCCCAGGATGTCCTGATGGAGATGATTGTGTGTCATACCTGTATCAGAGAGTTGGATGCTTCCAGGAATGCTAAAAATGCTGAATGCTTTGTAGGGATTGCATGCTAAACCAAAGAAATGGATCTCACACTTGCTGATCTCCTGATCTGTTAACATAAAATAATACAGCCATCTTCCAGTTACATCCCTCTCTGTCCACTTGCAACCCTGAAGTAGGCTGATCTAGGAATTCTTAGTCAGAAACTGCATCCCCAGCTGAGGAACTGGTCATGCCTTTGACAACCGGAGGAAGCAGTGGACTAGTCAGTCAGCACAGATGGGCACTGCTGTTCCCTTCTGCCCTACCTTGCGGGCCACAGCACACACTTCTGCGTTCTCCAAAAATGATGCACTTGAATTCTGAGGAAAAATCCAATATTCCAATTCCCAGACAAGTGCCCTAACCAAAAAACTGTAGGCTATTTTGGGGGCTACACTACTGCTGTCCTGCTCTGGAGCTGGCTTGCCTTCAAGAATGCATGAGTTATACGGCCAGAAGGTCAGTATGCAAGAGGGAGCCTGCCTTGGTAGGTATTTTACATTACACAGTAATTGGATACAAAGAAGATATAAAGCTAAGGGCAGACACAGTTATCTTGGGTCTTCACCTCCTAGCTGAGTGCCCTGAACTCGCTGTATTACAGAACTGGATCTTGGCATTTTTGCCTCCCTGGCCAAGGATTTCTTAGTCTCCTGGCTACCTGATAGCCCAGCTCCAGCATGACAGGTTCAGTGAGTTTATGAACTCATACCTGACACTGATTTCCTTATCTCAAAGAGATAAGAACTTAGCATTGGAGATATAAATGCAGCTAGGCCTTCTTTGGTGTCCAGTCTAACATTATTTTCTGCACCAGCTCAGGCACTGGAAAAAAGGGGTGGGGGGACCTGGGGCCAACTGGCAACAACATTTGAAGAAGCTGAAACTGTCACACAGGAGCTTCTGCCAGCTCTGCCATGGGGATGGAGGCACCTGGTGCACCAGGAATGGTGGGCCCAGGCTGGCACTTGTGCAAGTTTCAGAGGCACTGGTCTCTTGAGGCAGTTCTCAGTTGCTTGGTCTCAGCCACATGCTGTTCAATTCTGTGACATCCAAGTAGGACAGAACTGCCCTGTTCCTGCCAGAAGCCAGATTCTTCTCCAGTACGTTTTATGTTCTTCTCATCCCACTCTGTCAGCAGGCAGAGCTGCATTCACCATGTTGCTTGGCACTCAGGCTGAATTTACCACAATGATCTCTTTGCCTGTGAATACCGAAAATATATGTAGTCCTTGGCATGTTGCTGGTGCCAGGTGACCTTGATTGCACCCTTACGTGCTTGAATAGGGGGTTTGTGTGGCAGGGCTTAGAAAGGGGTGATTTGCAGGCTAGTAAGGGGCAACCCTGTGATTAGAAATTCCATGATCTGACAGGATGCACATTTGACCTGCTAGTGTAAAATAGATTATTATTCTATTATGTAAACATTTTAAGGTCCAGGCTTGATAAGGATCAATGACAAAAATAGGTGGTGTGTTCCTACCTGTCTGTAGAAGTACTTGCTAAAATGTGCTGCAGCATTTGGTTTATAACCTTACAATAGTGGCTTTGATTAATAATGCTTTATTAGTTATAAATGTAGACTTACTGAATAAATCCTTCTTACTCTGTTGAATGGCTCTCCATGCCTACATAAAAAAAATTATTTCAGTAATTAGAAAGCTACTATATTTCTCAATCTGGTAGGCTTTGAGTTGTTACCTCTGCTGGTTTTCCTGAATTCCTGCATAGTTTTTCTTCTTGACCCTGTCCTTGACACAAAAGGGAAACAGTTCCAATTTGCATTTCATTATCAGAAAGGGTGGGAGTGATAAGACAGGGTTTCCCAAAGAAAAGGGGAAGGGGTGGGGGAAAGAACAGGTCACTCATTCTGATGTGCACCTGGACCGTACCCTCCTCTTCCCCACCAGTATCAGAGAAATGAGACTGGAGAGATTATAACTTGCTGAAAAGGCCCAAACTCCCTCCCTGAGAACAACAGAGTTATCACAATTGCTTTGTGATCTTGCGTTTTGAGAGTAGAAGAGTATGCCTGAAGAGTATGGACATAAGGCATCTTGTGGCGAGTTCACCTCTGTCTTTTTTCTAGAAGATCTAGGCTTGTAATTCCTGGTTTTTTTCCTCTCCCCTTTCTATATAAAACACAAAGCAGTGGGGATCAGTTGTTTTATCTCGTATTGAAATGCAGCCATCAGTGCAGAATAACATGAGAACAGTTTGAAGGAAGAGTGGAACGCTATATTCAACTGCAACTAATTACCTGATTAGGTTTTGGCCTGGCTGTGTGGGTTGACATCCAATGGTCTTGGCGACAATACATGTGAGCAAAGCCAAGTCTAGTCTTGCTTCATTTAAAGACTCCGGACAAAACTTCTGGACTTGTGTGCTGAATGCTAAGCAGTGTGAAAATAGGCCACTGATTTAAAGTACCCATGGCTACAATAGCTGTCAGTGGGCAGCTGGCATGGTTGCAGATGAATGAGCTTATTTGAGTTTTAGAAATAGTGGTTTCCATTGAAAGGTGGTTCTGTTTCAAGGACACAATCTGGTGAAATTTAACTCTGCATCAGAACATCCTTCACAGCTATAGGATTAGAACTTTCCTTCAGCACTTTGAAACTTCTCCCCTTAGAAATGTAGTCAAACACCAAGATTGTGTAATCTTAGAAAATTACCTAAAAGGATGTTGTCTCACCTAGTCTGCTATAGAGGTCTGCTATAAGGGTTAAATATATTAGGACTGCTTTTTTAGGTGAGAGGTATTTGTTATTGCTGTTGTCTTCTCTTGTACCTTTGCCACAAACACTTTTTTTTTTACACTTGTTTGGAAAATGGCATGTTTTCATGTTAGGAGTACCTATGCAGCATCTCAAGTATCTGTAGGGTTAGACATATCTGAATTTGCTGGCGTGATGGTATTTTTTAGTCTTGGCGTCACTCTAAAGGAAATAAAAATCACTACTTGGAAGGATTTGAAGCTTTACTGGCAAGACAGGGATGAGTCTTTCATCTGTAAACTTTTATAAAGATACAGTCGATTAAAAGCAAAGGTGAGCAGAACACTTTTAGAAGGACTTGAAGTGTCCTTGCCTCTGAACAGGAATCTCCTGGGCTGCACTCACTTCTGGCACCCTAGGGAGCCTCTCTTCTCCCTTCCCAGGGAGAACGACATGAAATGAACTGTCAAATGAGTTGTGGCAGTACACTGGTGAGCATTGACTTTATGAGGAAATTTAGCTCATCTGCTCTGATATTTTGGAAGCGCATCGAGACACAGTATTAAAATGAATTGGACAAGCGGTTGATGAAAATCCAAGAGCTGGTAAGAGATGCTCCAAAGAACAAGAAATCCTAATAGACAACCATAGGAAAAATATTTTGCCAACTGGCTGACTATTTTAACTTAGCAACTGGCTTATGCTCTACCCTATTCCTTAACATCTAAAATAAATATTGAATTCTGTCCTGTTTATAAACCTTCTTAAACCATTTGCCTAAGAGGCATTGCAGTAATGAAGTCCTCAAAGTTGTGTTTAAGCATTTCCTCTTACTGCAAGAATAAATCCATCAAGTTTTCAGCCTCCCACAAAGACAACAAATGAAAGCCTGCAATGCCATGAAAGCCCCAAGAAACTTCAGAAGCAATTTAAAAATAACAAGAAGTATACTTTTGGACACCTCTTGCTACATCTGTGTGGAATAAGGCTGGGCAGGGACTTGGGGTCTGGAGAGGCAGATAGGAGTTCACCTTGTGTAACCTGGGATTCCCTTCCCCTCTCCCCTGCCATCCTCAAATCAGCTGTCACAGCATTGGCAGAACTCTCCTGAACCTTTGCTAGCCAGGAGTTTGCCCAGCTGTTTGGCCCAGGACTACACAGAGAAGGAGGAAGCATTTCTGGCTGAAGTTTCTGTAAAATCCCTGCTTCAGCGATCAAAGCAGCAGTGTCCCTATAGGGGAAAAGCAAGTGGATCTTGGTGGGTTGGGGAGGGGGAAGTGATGTGACTTTCCACAAGACCTGGCCTCTTCATGATAAATGATCACCCTAGAGTAGAGCTAATCTCCTAGGAAAAGTGGTGGGATTACAAAGGCAGTCAGATCTCTGCTTCCTCTAAAAGCATGCATAAAATTCAACTCCATTACAATTTTGTGGTTTGAAAATGTGTCTGTCCTAACAGCTACTTGTGTTGCCGTTGCAGGATGATTTGGAAATTTGCCTTGTCCGTTTTTCTGATGGCAGCGCTGGTTCAAGTAACAGACACCAGGAAAAACCGTCCTGCAGGCGCCATCCCCTCCCCTTACAAAGACAGCAGCAGCAACCACTCAGAACGGAGGCAGCAGCTGAATAAGGAGGTGCTGGCCTCCAGCCAGGAGGCCCTCGTGGTCACTGAAAGAAAGTACCTCAAGAGCGACTGGTGCAAGACGCAGCCCCTGCGGCAGACAGTCAGTGAGGAGGGCTGCATCAGCCGCACCATCATCAACCGCTTTTGCTATGGGCAGTGCAACTCCTTCTACATACCCCGGCACGTGAAAAAGGAGGAGGAGTCCTTCCAGTCCTGTGCCTTCTGCAAACCACACAAGGTCACCTCCTCAACCGTGCAGCTGGAGTGCCCTGAGCTGGACCCACCTTTCCGACTCAAGAAAATTCAGAAGGTCAAGCAGTGTCGGTGTATGTCTGTGAATCTTAACAACTCAGGCAAACTGTGAGAGCAGGTGTGTAGCTACTGCTTGGTGTTGCCCCCATAAGATTATCTGCTGCCTCTCCCATTGAGCAGACTGCCTATTTGTTGGTTTTTTTCTTTTTTTTTTTTTTTTTTTATTTTGGTGTGTGTTTTGTTTTCTCAAGGCATGTCTCCAGCAAGGAAGCCTCCTTGTCGCTTGCCTACTGGAATAAAGCTTTCTAATGGGCTATTTTGGCACTTCACCATAAAATGTCAGTCTAGTTGCAGTATCATATGGCAGTTGAATCTTCTGGAGTGGAGCAGACTCACTGAAGTTGGGATTGATCGATCACCTAAGTGACCATTTGGCTGAATCCAGCATTAAATGTTTCCACTGTGTGGAGTAAAGCCCTCTACCCTACACTCCAGTCCCCTCCACAAGATGAGAATGCCTTTCCTGTGCTTTGGACCGGAGCTTGCCACTCACACTTGGAAGTGCTAGGATGTTGCCAAGGACTGGGGGGCACAGATGAGGAAGAGCAACGAGGAGTAACGTGCGAAAACCAAGTGAGACTCTCTGATGAGGCTCATCTCCTTAAGGCAACTTTAATTGTGCAATGACAGATGGTTCTGGGCTTGTTGTCTGAATGACAGATAAGAAGCAATGGGGAGAGGGTGAGGCACTGGGTCAGCCACCATGACCACAGAGCAGACTAAGGGTGGGTTCTGATGCTGTTGTGGTTAGAGTACATCGAACACGTGGTCTCTGCAGCAGTGTTTATTTTGTAACCTAGCTATAGTAAACAGCTGTTTAAAGTATTATAGATCTAGCCATGTATATTTTTCTTGTGGCAGACTATGCCAGAGATTAAAATGTGTTGAGTAAGAGACCTGGTTGCTCAGTCAGCTGCCTGGCTTAAAATGGACATAGTTTAACTAGGCTTTCATTAGTTTTTTTTGTGTTAGGAATGTGTGTGTTTCTTACTCCAGAAAGGACAACATCCATTTATGACCTTGTATTTATGCCTGCTCAGACCAGAGAAGGCGGGAGAGTAGTGGGAAAGGAGCTGAGAACACTTAAGGGAACGATATTTCACTTGAGGTATAAAAGCACTGTCACAGAAAGGACAAAATTTGGTTATTGCTGGACTTAATACAAAAGCTGCATCGCTGTCATCAGGTTTTTGGAATGGTGTCTCTGCCATGATTGGAAACCACGTTAATGTGTTAGTGTTAAAGGACAAACCCATCAGTCAGTGCTGCTGGAATGGGTCACAGCTGTAGGCGCATGGAGAAAGTAAGTTGTAATTGCTACAGTACTGGTGGTCCGCTCAGTTTTCGAGTCCTACATAATCAGTGTTGGTGAACACTTGCAGTTCATTTTAAATCATATTATGTTGTTACTCACTTGATGGAGTTTAGCATGTCCTGTATATCCCATATGTTCCAGTTCTGATTTGTATTAGTCCCAGCTGCATTAAAATTCTATGTCTTAAAGCAAACCAGCCCCTTCCCCCAAACAAAAACCCATGTGTGCTCAGTTGTCTGAAGCTTACAAATTAAAAATGATACGCCAACTCCCTGATGCATGTCTCACAGCTCAGGATCTGCATCTAGTGAAACCAGCTTGCTCTGGGAGCCCTTTCCTACCAGCCTCTTCACATGCAACCACTTCAAGGGGTTAATGTGTTTAGCACTCTCACCAGCCAGGGGTTCAGTGCCACAGGTCTCTATTATGTGAGACAGGCTGCTCTAAGAGGCTTTCAGGACTGAGCCCCACGAGAGCTCACCAAGCGGTTTATGGGGATTGGCACAGGCAGGATGGGGTTGGTCAGGTCTGTTAGCCCTCTTATGTGAAGGGCCAGGGGTTTTCTGCTGTGATCTTTCAGCTTGTCAGAAGTGCACAGGGAAACTCCTCACACAGGCATTGCTTTAGTTGTGGTCACTGCTGCACTGCCAGCAGCGTGCCAGCCACTGCATAGGCACTGTTCAGCCTGGGCTTGGGAGTGTTGGCATGGGTAGGGTTGGGGGGAAGTGGCAGTAGCAATAGTCTAGACTCCAGGCATCTCAGTCTCCATTTGAAAGAAATGACTGGAAGTCAGGCATTTTGGACTAGAGAGAGAAAAGCACCCTGGTAACTTCAGTTAGGAAATATGTACAAGAAACTTTATCTTTAAGCTATGCCCTGCCTGTTTTTTTCACCACTTTGCAATATGAATATGCTGCAGCTTAAAGCTCCTTCTAGGAGCTGTGTTTATGTAAAAACTCAGTTGAGCTTGTAATGGTTAAAACTGTATTTAATTCTTGTTTTATAAATGAAAACAAAAATGAAGAAATGCTTTAAGTATAATGTAATTATTTTATAGGTCTACTATTAAATTATAGATTAAATAATAAAGTTACTCTAGGGTTATATGGCATCCAGGTGTACGGGCTTTGCTTCAACACCTTGTGTCCAACTGCCCTCTGATCACAAAATTCAGCTCCTTTTTGACTCTACCAAATACAGGTAAATGATGGGTCACTCTGAAAGCGTGGGAGAGCTGAGCACCTTCTCCCTTTGTCCCTGCACCCCCACAAAAGTACCTGCAAGGCAAGAGGGAAAAATAAATTACACTAATCCTAGATTCTGGAGTTGATTCATCATGCAGAAAATCTGTTTTGTTGGTTAAGTGACAAGAAGACAACCAAAGCTCCACCACTGGCTGAACTGCTGACATAATTTGTGGTAATAGAAGTAATTATTATCCTGACCTAAGTGGTTTTGCTTAAATATAGCTAGAGCATTATGTAACAGGCACCAAACTACTTTTGGCGGGGGGTGGGGGACCGGTGGGGAGGAAGGAGTATATCTTAAGATATAGGTGACCTGTACATCTTGCCAAAGCTGAGATGGTGTTTTGGGTTTTTTTTGGTTTTTTCTTCCCAACTTAGAGGAAAGATAGTTGCAAAATAATCTTGATGGAAGACTTTAGTGAGGAAAGTAAGTTCTCCCACTGAGGAATGATACTCCATGTGACCAGAAGAGGTGCCTGTTGTGGGTCTTGAAAGAAGAAGGAGCACCCAGACCACAAGCAGCAAGGGTGGGCTTTGTCCTTCATGGCATGTCATGACACCTGCAGGAGCTCTCTGCTGTCTTCCCTCCCCATCTCTTGCCAAAATTTTCTCATAGTTCAGCAATTTTATGGGTTTGGAGACTTCTTAGAAATTGTTTTTTTAGTGGCTGTTCATTTTGAGAATTACTGGTTTGGTGGGCTTTAGCTGCCTCATCCTGGTCAGGGTCCTCTGCTCTGAACGCAGCAGTGCCTCAGCTCAAAAGGAGCTTGGCCAGCCATCTTCTCCAAGGCGTTTATCTTATTTCCACCCATCTCTTAGCCCATGTCTTTCTTTTTTGGTAGTCTCATTGCCTAATGCCTACCTGAACCTCTACCATAGCTTAGACTTCAGCTATCCAAGACTCTTGATAGCCAGCTGCTGAAC